GGCTGCTCTGGCAGGAAGGAACAGGATATGCTGCCTGGCAGGGGGTTTCTACTCCAGCAGCCAGGAACGTGTGTGTGTTAATAAACTGGGTGCCACGGTGCACATGACCTCAATATTGGTGCACAAGACAAAACTCACTCTGCTCATGGATGGAAAATCTTAGAAGGGAACACTGATCCCAATGCCATTGATTGGACATCTTCAGTAGCAGGGCATAGCTGGGATACACGTTTACAGTTGGTGTCTTGTGGCAATGTCCGAATCTGTTTGGTGCTTACAAATCCTGATCCTCTCCATTCCTTCTCCACCATAGAATTTTGTAAGTTGAACTCCAAAGTAGAAGGGAAGATATTAATAGAGCATCCACAAGGACACACGCATCAAAGAACCTCAGTTACTGCATGAGGTGAGTAACCTTTTCTTCTTCAACTGATGTCCCTGTGCGTGCGCCAATCCAGGTGATTGTCAAGCAATGTCACTATGGTGGGGAGACGGGGACTTTGGAATGGAGTAATTGGTAGAAGCAGACAGTACTGCGTAGACTATAAAGTGTCTGTTGTGGCTTGTGGGACAATGGCATCGTGTTTATCAAATGTATGATGTGATGCCCATGTAAAGGCTTTCCTTATGTCAGAAAAAGTACATTGTGGAGAAATGCTGTGGAGATAGAGACAGTCCAAATGAAGTGATTCCCTCAGGGGCTTTGAGATTCTGAGCTTGATAGCTGGTCCTAATACAGTATAATATTCACTTGGATAAGCACTGCTTACAAACAACCATACTTTTGGATCAGTTGGCAATGAATAGGAAAAGTCTCAGCTTTTGCAGAATGGTTTAGTTCTGTTTAAGTAGAAGGCAAGTGCTTGTCTGACATCCAGCATTTGGAGTGTAGCTTCCTGGAGAGTTTGGGGTACAAGACAGGGAGATATACCGGCTCATTGAGGTGGAAAGGAGGTATCTTTGAAAGAAATTCAGGATGCGGTCACACACTGATATTGTCTTTGAAGAATATAGGGTACAGAAGGTCAGCCATTAGTGCACTATTTTACCTACCCTTTTCGCCAATGTGGTAACCTTAAGGAATGCTATCTTCATAGACTTGTGTAGGAGGGAGCAGGTGGCTAAAGATTCAAAGGAGTTTTTCATAAGGCTTCAGAGGACTGTGGTTACACCCCATGTGGCTGTGGTGGGTTGTATCTCTGGGTAGAGGTTTTGGAATCTGTTAAGGAAGTGCTTCATGATAGGGTGAGTGAAAATGGAAAAGCCGACCAGTTTATCATGAAAAAAATTAATTGCCACAAGATGAACTCTGATGGAACTGAGTCCATTGTTCTTGAGGCTTAAAAGATAGTCCAGATCACTGGGGAGAGGAGTGTTGCAGGGTGTAATACTTTTCTCTGAGCATCATGTGGAGAATCATTTCCATTTATATAGGTAGGTACTGAAGGTGAAGTCTCACCTCTTATGCAGTAGTACATGTTTTACGTGCTCTGAAAAAGGTCAGCTTGTGTGCCTGGAATCATGGAGTAATCATTCCTTCATATGGAGCATCACCAACTGTGGATGAAAGATGAGTCCATTGCGCAAGGAGAAGCAATCCGGTCTTCTCATAAGAGTTATTGAAGAGCAGAACAACATTCGCAGCATGTAAGCATACGATGTCTGCCTGGACCATGCAGGAGTGACATGACCTTGGCTTTGTTGATTCTGATTTTGTGGCTGACTCTGAAGGAATCAGTGGGTGAGTGTAAGTGTCTCCTGCCATGGAATTGGGAACACATCTCCTAGGTATGCAGTCCCAATTCCCACACTGGAGCAGAATCGGTGACACTGAAGTTCTACCATGTAGTGAACAGGTCTACAGTTGGGGAACTCCAGAGTTGTGCCACTGTGGGGTTGAGCTACCATTCATGTTCGTGTGAAAAATGTCTGGTGAGGATGTCAGCAGTAGTGTTCTGGCAGCATGGGGGGTAGGAGGCAGAGATGTCTATGTGAAGTTGGATGCATCAGTTCTATAGCTTGGCAGCCTCTGTGCATAGGGAGTGTGAGTGTGATTCCCCCATCTGTTGATGTAAAACATGCATACTGTATTATCAGTCAAGACACAAAACGTTCTGAGACTTATGAGAGGAAGAAAGTGAAGACGTGTATATGACTGCCATGAGTTCTAAGGAGGTTGATATACAGATGGGTCTCTGTTGAGGACCACCTGCCTTGTGCAGTGTACAGTCTAAGTGTGCTCCTCATTCTAAAGGAAAGTGTCTTATGAGCATCATTGCTGGAAGGATCTGGTAAAAGGGAATCATAGAATCAAAGATTACTAGAACTGGAAGAAACAAAAAACAGGACTATGTAGCACTTAAAAGACTAACAAGATGGTTGTCCCCCAGTGCAGGGAATTTAGACAGTGCGGGGTGGAGTTACTATCATATGGAGGCTGTGCTTGGCTGGTTTGCATACTGAGCTTAGCCAGCCCTGGAGACCCTTCATATAAAGTCTGGCACGGCGCACCATGTATGTGGTGGCCAGCACATCATCTAGAAGTTGTAAGCACATTCTGGCTTTTACCTGGGGCAGATAGAGACTGCTGATATGAGGTGTGTGATGGTGAGGAATCTGGCATTTGGGAGAGAGGAGCTGGCAATGGTCAAATCTAGGAGAGCTCCAATTACTTCTATTTGTTGAGCTGAAATGACAGTGGACTTTTGGATATTTATCTAGAGCACTAGAGTGTAGAAAAGAGAAATGGTAACTCAAGTGGCCAATTGAGTCTCCTCGTAAGACTGGCTTTTAATAAGGCAATTGTTGAGGTACAGAAAGAATTCAATTCCTCACTTGTGGAGGTGAGCTGTGAACACAGCAAGAGTCTTTGAAAACACTCTTGGTGTTGTGGTAAGTCCAAATGTGAGCACTCTATACTGGAAGTGCTCACGTTGCACTATAAAGCGGCAAATCTTCTGTGTGCTGGATGAATACATCTTAAAGGCTGAGAACCAATTGCTTTGTTCCAGTATGAGTATTATTGTGCCCAAAGGGATCATCTTGAATCTTTGGGAGAGTTCCAATTTATTGAGTCATGGCAGATTAGGATGGGTTGCCATCCTCCATTTTTCTTTCAGGTCAGGAAATAGTGAGTAAAACCCTTTCCCTCAGTGTTGTGGAGGAACATGTTCCATGGCATCTAGCTGAAGAAGGTGAGTTACCTCTATTTGAAGAAGGCGCCTGTGAGAGAGGTCCCTTAAGAGGTATGGGGAAGGGGAAAGATAAGGGGTGTGGGTGAAATATAGGGGATAGAGTAGCTGGATTACACTATTTTGAGTACCCAGCAATCTTGTGAGACTTGTTGCCAAGTATGCAGGAATCTCTTGAGGCAGTGGCCAAATGGACAGGTGAATGTGGGTAAGGAGTGGCTACCCAGACCCTCAACCAAGCCTTCAAAATTGAGGATTGTTTTCCAGTGACTGGTTTAAGGTTGTTGCAATGGACACATTTGGCAGGAATGTGCAGCTCACCAAGACATATGTTGCAGAGGGCATGTCCATCTGAATGCAGCATGACATACTTGCAGGAGTTGCATTTTTTAAAACCAGGGAAGCCTAGCATGTTTTAAGGCTATCCTATGAGGTCATGCTTGAAGGAAGAGATTGAGAATGGAAAAAAAATATATTTTTAAATATAATTTTCCTGAGGGAAGGGGAGACTTGGATGTACTTTTTATGTAACATTCTATATTTACATAATTTATTCTATATTCTGAATTAGAAAAGAGGTGCAGAACTGTTCTAAGTTCTGTCTTCAGCAGAGGATGGCTGAAAAGGAACTGAGGGGATCGGGATGTGCATATGCCAAACAAATATAGGTTCCGTGAGAAATCGTGGAATAAATACATTTTTTTCTTACAATGTAAGCTGACATTTTATATTTTTTACACACACACACACACACACACACACACACACACACACCCCCACCCCGCCCCCCGAACCGGGAACACACACACACACCCTCCCACCTCCCGCCCCCAGAACCGGGCACTACCACCAAGGATCTCCAATCAATGATGCCAAGATGCGCTGTCACCTGGAGTGGGACTCCCACAGGAACATGCTCAAAGAGCCACCTATTTTTTTTCTAACAATGGAACAAAACCTCTAAATGCAGGAATAATGTCAGTATTTAATTAGACATTGACGTTGTTTTTCAAATGCCTAACACACAGTACATAAACTCAAAACACTGTGTGTTAACTGCAGACATAGTGGAAAACACTGAATTACCTATTCTCTTCTGGTCCGAGATGTCTAGTTCTGGTTCAACGAAAGGTTTTAGCTCATCCTCTTCATGCCCTGCATTGATCCACCGGTCCTTCATGATTTGCTATAAAGATAGGTTGTTTGGTAACTATTTTCTTGTAAACAAAAGAAGACACTGAGAAGTCAAAGTCCTATCTATCAAAAACTTAACAGCATTGAAGAATTGAAGACAAGCAAACCCAGACTCTGGTTTAAAGTTCTAAGTCCTCTTCTAATTCTAGCCATCATTCTTTTCCAGAAAGTTCCACATAATTCCCAACTCATATTTGAAGATAGCCATCCTTATTACTGGTCCCCTTCCTCACCTTCCTGGATTGTGTTCCTAGACAGGCCACTTCCTATTAGCTGTATTCTAGGACAAAGGTTCAAGTTGACTACAAAGTATAGAGATTGGTTGCAGTGAGAGCTCAGGAAAGAGATCAGATAAAAACTTCTTCCAGACAAGAATCTGTATGCAGGAAACTATCCTCATCCAGGAAACCTTCACTGGTCTTTGTACACCAATGCACTCTTTCAGCCACAAAACTTCTAATAGACTTCTCTATCCTAAATATTACTCACTTGGGAACATGACAGTTCTCCAAGAGTTGAAGTAAAGCATAAAGTATTGACAAAGAATACAAAAGAAAGAAGCCAATAATATTAAGCACGAGTTTAAAAGCATTACAGTTAAGAAAATTCAAACAGATTTTAACCTGTCTCTAATGTTGAACTATTTAGGAAGTCACAGACTTTCATAGGAATGCACTAAAATGTAAAACATGCCTAGCCATAATGCCCTAATTTGAAGGGAAAAATCAGGAACTCCTCTTCATGTAAGTCTTCCTCCTATATATCATCAAGATATCTTACTGTAGAATTCTGTAGTACATTCTGAAAGCCCAAAACTACAGTTTACAAGAGTGACACTGTGGTGCTTTCAGTTAACTAAGGAAATAAAGATAAAGGTCAAGTTTTCAAAGATAGGTGCACTTTTCAAGTGACTTCCCAATGTAGGCAAAACATTTTTTATGTGCATGCAAATTAGGGTTGCTTGCACAAAATACCGATTTCTTCACACATTATGGATTTGCCCACCTAAACCAGATTAAATTAAATTAAAATTTTAAATTTAAAGTAAATTAATGGAGATTGCCTATCTCCTAGAACTAGAAGGGACCTTGACAGCAGGAACAAGTACCATTCCTGACAAATTTTTGCCCCAAATCCCTAAATGGCCTCTGCAAGGATTGAACTCACAACCCTGGGTTTAGCAAGCCAATGCTCAAACCACTGAGCTATCTCCCCCAAGGCAAGATGTATGGCAAGAGTACTCATGTAAGTAGGCAACCATTTAAGAGCTTGGATTGGATTGCATATGCACAAAAGAAACTGTCTTCGCTGCAATTTTATCACATTTGTGTCAAAAACTCACCCAAAATGCAAATTAGAAACCTCGGGGCAGCAAATATTAACAGAAGTTAAATACATACTAATGGAGGGAAGGAGTGGTAACAAATATTGGTACAAACCAAGAATGGCAAATTAATTAAAATTAATTAATTAAATTGAATTATTTACTATTTTGTCTGAAAGCATTTTATTCATGCTATTACCTCTAGAGTGCCTCTTTTAGTTGGGTTTAGCACCAGAAAACGTTTGAGGAGGTTTTCACAGTCTGTTGACATGTAGAAAGGGATCCTATATTTTCCCCTTAGTACTCTTTCTCTCAGTTCCTTGGGAGAAAGGAAGCAAATTATTTAAAAAAGGCATAGTTTAAAATACTCTTCAATTGTTACAGCAGCCAGTATTATCGATAAAGTTTAAGTAATATACCTTTAAGTTCTGTCCATCAAAAGGAAGAGATCCGCTCACAAGAGTGTAAAGAATAACACCTAAACTCCAAACATCTACTTCAGGTCCATCATATTTCTTGCCTTGGAAGAGCTCTGGAGCAGCATAGGGCGGCCTGCCACAAAATGTGTCCAGTTTATTTCCAACAGTAAACTCATTGCTAAAACCAAAGTCTGCTATTTTAATGTTCATATCTGCATCTAGCAATAGATTTTCAGCCTGGGAGGAAGAAAAGAAAAATATTGTATTATGTACATTTAAGGTTTTTCTACAAAAGCTATTCAAATCTGAGATTCATTCCAAAAGCCAAAAGTGTAAATAAATTTCTTTATTGAACATAGCTAAATATCTTCACAAAATTATTAATTTTCATATATATTTTATTATATATTTCATATATATTTCAGATATATTTTATCTAAGTTATTACCTTCAGATTTATGGCAACTGTTACACTAAATAAAGCTAGTCACATGTATCATCTCCTTGGCTACTTCACGGAAAATTATTTAGTATTTCTGTAACCGATAATGTTTCCATATAACAAGACAAAAATGAAACACTCAAATCCTACATTTTATATGATAACGCTTACGAAGTGTGTAGTATATAAAATCTTTCTTTTAGTATCAAGTAAAAATAAGATTTATGAAATATGTGAAACAGAAATGCAATCTTATACAATTATAGTACAAGAAACAGCACAAGTTCCCTGAAAATGCCACACCAACGTGCACCAAACCTAAGGAAAGCCACCTCATGATGGTGGGTTTTTTGTTTTGTCTAATACTGTAAATAAGAACCACCAAGCATTTTACATTTGTTACACAACTGTAATTTTTTATCATTACAAAACTGAGCTATATTTTAATTAGTGACCAAAAGGTCAGAAGCTCCACCAATGCCATCCAATTCATTACATTGAGACATATCCCATTTACTCCATCCCCATTTAAAAAAATAAACCTGCTCTATATTTAATATATTTTCATAGCATCTAAAACCTCCTGTGAGCCAAGGAAAAGATTTTAACTCTAAACCTTATAGGCAAAAAGAATACTAGACTTAGCTAATGAAATTACTGCCTACACGCTTCGGTAGGGTTTTGGTTTTTTTTTCTACTCACCTTGAGATCTCTATGTACAATATGCTTTTGATGGCAGTACTGCACTGCAGATACTATCTGGATAGAAAACAGGCCCAATTATATAAGTGACACCTCAAAGAAACAGATGTATAATCAGAAATTTCAATATTAGTTGCTAAAATTGACAAGTGCACATTCAGACTCACACAACCAACCATAATGGCCACCACATTCAGAATAAAGTCACTAAAAGCATAATTAAATGTAAGCTTATTTATTCAACCTATTGGCTTCTTTGGAGAACAATGAAATTCTCTGCATGGTTGATTCTAGAGGGAGGGGGGCTCACCTATTAAGGTTGTGGAAAAGTTTTCTCTGAGTGTCTTTACACATTCATAACTATCTGAAATTTTCTTTGCTGGACTGAAATTATCCAGTTTCTTCCTGAAGATTTTTTTGAGAGATACTTTAAGGGGAATGGTTGTTATTCAAGTAACAGCAACAACTTATTTGATAAGTTAGTTATGCAATCAAATTACTGTAGGTTTCTCCATCATGAGTCAAGCAAGGATCTGACTACATCCTACCTAATTTATTTTGCACTTTATGCTAGGAATTGCATAATAAAGAGGGCATGAAGGAACTCTGACTTAGATGTATATAATACAGTAATTTAATGATCACATATCTTAAATACAGAACATTTTTTCTGCAACTTGGCATGGAGGTTGATATAAGGTCATAGTGAATGACTTAAACGAGGCATTCATGGACAGTGGCATTTACAGAGTACTATTCTCCAAAATACGCTGTGACCAATATATGTAAAGCTGTAGAAAAAAATTATATATTACACTGTCTTATTTGACGCATCATACACTAATTTAGGGGCTGAAACAGTGAGATAGTTTAGAAAGGAAAGGAAAGGAAAGGAAAGGAGAAAGGAAAGGAAAGGAAAGGAAAAAGGAAAGGAGAAAAGGGTAGCCATGAGAAAGGGAAGCAGACTAACAACAGTATTTGATCTGAGGAAGTGGGTCTGGCCCACGAAAGCTCATCACCTAATAAACCATCTTGTTAAGTCTTTAAAGTGCTACATAGTCCTGTTTTTTGTTTCAGTATGGAGAAAAGGTACCCAAGTTCAATGAGGAACTATACCAAAAATGTTTTTATTTATAGTTTTCTCTGTGCTGGGTCCCTTTATTTTGTGGAAGTTTTGAGAGGCCTATACAGCTATAAATTTGCCTTTACATCTGCCCAAATTTAAATATCATTATGGACAGTATCAACAAATAGCCCTATTTCTAGAGTTATTCAGAGAAGAGGTAGAAATATTAACAAAAGCCACTTACGAACAACTAATGAAGCAGAGGAAGAGTAAAGGGGCAGGTGAGCTAACTAATCTGCTTGATTTCCAAAAGGCAAAAAACTTGGTTCCCCATTTCTACACTATATTTTTACATACATTTCACAAACTGGAGAATTTTTCTGCTGAGTTAGGATAAGAACAGACCAACCCAGAGGCCTGAGGGTAGATAATGGAACTAAATGATATGAGGAATCCAAATCATCTTTAAAGTACAAATATTTGCTCTGAGAGGCATAAAGGCAGCTGAAAATGCAAACTAAAAGAGCAAGGTTATATTTTTGGCATGTGCACCCTTTCATGCTTCACTTGTCAAGCATGCCTGATATGCATAAATAAACAAGCTATATACTGCAGCATAATCAGCCAATCAAAACTATTTCAAATTAGAGAAAAAACTTGGACAGCAAGAAAGCTGAGCATGTTCCAAAGTATTGTTCTTAGAATCACAGAATATTAGAGCTGGAAGGGACCTTGAGAGATCATCAAGTCCAGTCCCCTACCCTCATGGCAGGACCAAGCACAGACTATATCCTCCCTGATAGATGTCTGTCTAATGTGCTCTTAAATATCTCCAGTGATGGAGATTCCACAACCTCCCTAGGCAATTTATGCCAGTGTTTAATCATCTTGACAGTTAGGAAGTTTTTCGGGAGAATTCCGGGGGCCGAGGCTTTTTATACCGGGGATTGGCAAACCTATTCACAAACTTTTGGCAGAATGGTAACATTTTAGTTGCATATTTGGATAGTCACTGTTTGCATAATGAATATGCAAATAAAATGTTGCCTGTCTGCCAAAAGTTTGTGAATGGGTTTGCCAGTCCCCGGTATAAAAAAGGTTGGGAACCGCTGCCATGATGGAAAATGCTCACTCAAAAGGACTTTATGATTAGTAGGACATTCTAAAAGCTATTGTATACCTTCAATTTATTTTTTAATATTATGAACTCAGGATGTTAAGTACTGGGTAATTGACTAATCCAGCATTTCCCAAACTATGGGCCACGGCCTGGTACCGGGCCGCGGGAAAAAAATACTGGGCCTCACCATGCCTGGTGGCTGCCGGCAGGGCCAGCCTTAGGCCGATTTGGGCCCCGCGCCCCTGAACTCAGAAGTGCCGGCGAGTTACAGAGCTGGGGGCCCTGCTCCACCAATATGTGGAGCTGGGTCTCTCCCCCAGCTCTGCCTGGAGCAGGCCCAGGCCCCCACGCCCGCCCCCCCGCACGTCCTCCCACCCCGCCCCAGAGCATCCCCGCCGTGCGCGGCTCCTCCTCACCCCT